CCCTAGAACATGAATCCCCCTGCCTTGTGGAAGAGCCAAAACAGGGACCAGGACCTTCACGAGCGCTTGAGGCATTGTGGCTAGGCCCAAGAGCAGAGCCACAAACTAAAACTGTTGTTCACCCACTGAAAGGCACAGGTAGCACCGAGGAAGCAGAAACAAAAGGGATGTAGGGGTAGACATTCTTTATATCCACTGAGGCCCAGATAGAGGGAAGCACAATTCAGATTCCATATAAAAAAATTTTGAAAATGTAAAAAACATGTTCAGGTGCTTCGTGTCCAAAATGGGCCGCACATCACCAAAACTTTCTCGTTCTGGAACAAGAACAATGATCCTCAAAGTGCAACTGGTCCAGTGCAGAATACAACATGACAAGGCTGCTCTCTTGTCAAGTGCAGTAGGCAGATTTAACTGTGTGAAGCGTGGAAGAGGCAAGGGAGAATGCCACCAGCATACAGAGCACTCCCTTGTTGATTCTGTTCGGTTCCAGCCGACGGTTGCTGCAGCACCCACTTATACACACAGCCATTTTTAAACGCAGGAACATGTGCGCTTGGATTGTACACTTGCATGGATAAGGCAAGACTCAAAACCCCAGCATGTAGCCTCTGGACACAATGTTTTTGGACCCATACATCGGAGATATTTGGGATACATATGACTGAGAAATATTGTATTTCCATCCTGAAAAGAATGGGAGGAATCCTTTCTGGTTCCTAATGAAGATGGCTTCTGCTACTTTAACAGTAAGCGTGCCCTTTCCTCACGTGATCTATCATATAAACGTATCCAGAACAATGCAAAAATCTATCAACCCTCCAAAAGGCATGCGTTCAACTGCTTCTAGAGGAGCTCACCTGACCAGAATGTAAAGGGTAAGTTCACCTTTACAGAAAATGTAAAAAGGTGAAATAACATTGGACTCCCCCCAACCCCCTGTACTTACCCACACAGGCAGTCCAGTGGGCCGGTCCAGGGATATGAAATCCCTTCTCTTCTCCCTCTTTTGTGCAGCACTTCCAGGAAGGACCAGATCAATTCACTGTGATGGCACTGACCAATCAGAATTGATCTGGTCCGTGGTGGCAATGAGGGTGTATGGTGTTCGATCACTGACTGTAAAAAAAAAAATGTAAAAAGGTGGAATAACACTTTAAGCCACATCACTTGCCTCATGTGCACTGACAGAAGACCTGGGAGTGGGAGTGTTGTCTGGCTGATGAACTGGACTGAAAAGCTCCAGGTTCTTTTGCTTTACATTTATCCCTTAACAGCAAACCCTGACAAACTTCCATGGTGCAATGGCAGGTGGAACTGGCCACACTAGTGAAGGAAAAGGCACCTTAACTAGTTGCCGACCGCAGATAGCCGAATGACGGCTGCACTGCGGCCGACCAGTTCTGAGTGGACGTCATATGACGTCCTCCCAGAACGCGCTCTCCTGCGCGCCCCAGGGGCGCGCACCCGGCGATCTCCGTGATCGCTGTGTCCTACGGACACAGCTGATCACATGATGTGGTAAAAGGCCAATCACAGCGGCCTTTTACCACGTGATCAGCGGTGTCCAATGACACGCTGATCACAGGGAAATGCAAGTGCCGGTTCTCGGCTGCACTTTCCTCACGCTGTCAGATCGTGAGGAAAGTACTGCCGAGAACCGGCAGTTGTCAGAGCGGGGATCGGCACCGATCATCAGGGCACTGATGATCAGTGCCCTGATGATCGGTGCCCAGCAGTGCCACCCGCAAGTTCCGCCCACCTGTGCCCAGCAGTGCGCCCACTAGCTCTGCCCACCTGTGCCCAGCAGATCACCCACCTGTGCCCAGCAGTTCACCCACCTGTGTCACTCTGCAGTGTCACACACCTGTGCCCAGAAGTGCCACCTACCTGTGCCCAGAAGTGCCACCCACCAGTGCCACCCACCTGTGCCCACCCACCAGTGCTGCCAGTCAGTGCCACCAGTCAGTGCCCAGGGGTGCCAGTCACTGCCGCCAGTCAGTGCCCAGCAGTGCCGCCAGTCAGTGCCGTCTATCAGTACCCATCAGTGCCCCATCAGTGCCGCCTATCAGTGCTGCATATTAGTGCTGCCTATCCGTGACACTTCATTAGTGCTGTCTATCAGTGCCGCCTATCCGTGCCACCTCATTAGTACTGCCTATCAGTGCCCTTTAGTGCCGCCTATCAGTGCCCATCAGTGCCGCCTATCAGTGCCCATCAGTGCTGCCTCATCAACGCACATCAGTGAAGGAGAAAAATTACCTTTTTGAAAAATTTTATAATAGAAACAAAAACTTTTTTTTTTTTAATTTTTTGCACTTTTTTTATTTATAGCGCAAAAAGTAAAGCGCCCAGTGGCGATTAAATACCACCAAAAGAAAGCTCTATTTGTGAGAAAAAAAATGATCAAAATTTCATATGGGTACAATGTTGCATGACCGCGCAATTGTCAATCAAAGTGCGGCAGCGCTGAAAGCTGAAAATTGGCCTGGTAAATAAGGGGGTATAAGTGCCTGGTAGGCAAGTGGTTAAAGAGAGAATCAAATCACAAGGTAGCTTCCATGGGGACCTCATACAGTCATCTCTCTGTAAACTCTGGTGTTACATCACAGTGGAAAAAGCAGATAAGGATTCCCTTTTGGATAGAGAGGAAGGAGTTAGTAAGAAACTACATTTTGCCTGATAACCAAAACCGATTTGCTGCCCCATAAATTAATTTGTGGAAGACCACCATCTTTTGATGTTTAAGACAACCATCTTTTGATGTTTGGAGTTTAAGGTTACCTAGTCCCGGTCTCTTTAGTGTCAGATCTGCAAGGTCCACAAGTGTGTGCAAAATAAAATCCTGAGCACTAGCACCAATAAAAAGAGAAGGGCAACCTTGCAGTCTCCCACCACCTGCTGACTTCAGGGTCCCAAGTTGCTCTGTGGCCTGTGCTATTAGGAACTGTGTAGTACATGTCCTGCTCGACTAGTGTCCAGCTGCTGCAAAAGGGTTGGATTCCAAAAATGGTGTGCAATATGCAGTGGGTCGCACCTGCACACTAGACCGGCGGAATCTGCACCACTCTGCCAATAAACAGGGCAGTGCAGGAATGCCTACAGTGCCCTCTAGAGGTGCAGACCAGGAACTGCAACTCACAGGTGCGGTGAGGAAAATGCTGCCCATTTCTGAGTTTTATCGTCTAGAGGCAGGGAACAGTACATGGGAGCCTCTCCCTCCAAAAAAAACAGGGACATGTACTTTTCAATGAAAAAAAAAAAAGATAACAGAAAGGGGGCTTTAAAGATGACTGCCAGGTAAATATCTAAAATATTATAAAATCCACAATTTTAAATAGTATATAATAATTAAAAGTATTACAAAATTTAAAACATCCTAAAAAAGGTTATTCCAAACGCTTTATCCTCACGTCAGATTCATGGCTGCTTTAACAGTGGCTGATACAGGAGTATATCTATTGAGGATAGGATTTGCAATTTTAGAACCCTCTGCCAGAGATTTGCCTGTGAGGTTGCTGTAGGCTCACCCCTATAGGACATTTTTCGTTGAAAGAATCTTGGGTGATTAACATCCTTCAATGTTTATTATAGAATGTCGACACAACCTAATGGTAAAATTTTGGTTGTATCCAAGGCATTCGCCCCTATTGTGATATAGGATATTTGATGTTTGGTATTGTGGAGCTACTATGGTAGAACTACATTATAGTGCTAGAGATTTCTTGGTGGACGGTGTGGTCTCTCTATCTCCTTTTAAGCCTCCCCACAGCCTGGAAGAGCATAGCCAAGTTACCCAGTTGATTAAGATATATACAGTATATATAACATACACATTCCTGAATATTGTCCTGAAAATGCGGTTAACCAGTGAAACACGTAGACATGAGGCTAAAGTGTCTAGAAGAATATAATCTTTTTTAGGAATTTTTTATCATTATGCAATACATTTAATTATTGTGTACTAATAAAAATTGTGCATTTTGCAATATTTTGGCAATTTACCTGGAGGTCAACTTTAAAGCCCGGTTTGTCTCATCTTTGTTTCTTCTACTGACTCCCAAGTTATTTTAAGGTTGCTTGTTCGTGATATTGCCCACAACATATACCTATACAATTGCTGCACTGACATTTCAGCCTGCACATGCATATTCCACTCTTGCTGCTTTTTTTCTATTGGAGATATTTCCTTTCACGTCATGTCCCATGGATACGTCAGGATGTGAAAACACAGGCAGTGTGCCTCAGGATCAAGCCCACAGGTATGCCACCATCGGAAGAGGCTTCTTATGGTGGAACACCATGAAGAGTAGGAGCATCAGCAGGGGAACTCAGAAGTGGAGGATCAAGACCTCTCTTTACAATTCCATTGCACAGAGCAGGTAAGTATCATCGTGGACTCTTGCTGAGGTTTTTTGTTTCATTTGGGAGATTTCCTTTCACATCCCATGGACACGTCAGGATGGAAGATGAAATTGCTCCAAAAGGAGGTAATGAAAGGCCATAAACTATCGCAGTGGTACGTCTAATCTAGGATCATTTGTCTCCTTTGATATGTGAAACTAGAATATTCCTATCCATATAAAATTTCAGTAATTTTGAACAGTACTCCTAGTCCTGAAACATCATAAATTCCCATCTGGCCCACACTGCTAAGGTTTCAAAAACAGAGAAGGCCCTCATCTCTAATAAAGCTGCTGAATTGCTTGATGCTTTAGCAGCAAGACTTGCTTTACAACCTGTTCCATGGGGAAGAAACCATGAAGGAGGTTTGTTAGGGCAAAGTTTCTAAATGTTTTTAAATCCTACCCATTTGACAGGCAAAGTAATGTATTGGGTTAAGGTTATGAATCAAGGAGGATGATCTGGAAATCAACAATGTTGCCCTGGGAACAATTTGGCCTAGACGCAAACCACAGAAACACCAGAAAGCCATAATAAGCATGCAGTCTTTTCAGAAACTCCTTCCTAACCTGATGTACGCAGATGTTACATTTGTCACAGAAGACCATTTCATTGCCATCTTCACCATCTGGAGACTGACATACATCACAAACAACATCCTCATCATACTCAATGCCAAGGCCTTCCTCTGTCTCTATGGCATGGTTCATGTTGTCATAGCACTTCTGCTCAAACTCCTCCATTGCTCGCTCCATTATATACTCATCCAGCTGTGGCACACCTACAAACAATAAAAAAAAGTTACATGAAGTAGACAGGCAGTAAACACAGGAAACACAGTAAAACACTAAAAATTAAACATTAAAATTCAGATATGCCAGACACATGCTAACATGTATAGAATGAACACCCAGGCTTGGAAGGGCATGTGCAATCTAAAAGTGGACCTAAAACTAAAGCCTCTCAATCAATATGAACTATTTTTAACTCTTATGTTGCTGGCATTAGTAAACCAATAGGAAAGAACGTTATATTTACTCGGTTTAAACATTTTTATTTACATTCCTACAGTTGCTTCATGGTTTTTGGCCTAGGCCAAAATTATACCATCCATCACTTGAGCTTTCATGGCAATTTTTTCTTTCATCTGGAGGATGGGAGGAGGGGCTCTCAACTAAGCACACTCTCCTTCCTGCATGCCTGAGCTAAAGGCAGGTGGATTCCTGGAAGTAAATGTTAAATGTACCATCTGCCCTTCGTCAACATGGCTAGAAATGCTAGGGGGTGTTTTTCAAAGTGATTTTTCAACTAAATAAAGCATGAAGACCTGAATGGATGGGTGAGTTTGCTCTGAATATTAAAGTGGATCTAAAGTCTAAATATAGCTTAAAGTGTTACTAAACCCAGGACCCTGCATCCACTATATCTGATCTCCCACAGTACACAGAACATGGAAGTGCAATTATTTAGTAAATATAAACTGCTAAATACTTTTTCTCATCAGAAGTTAGAACAGTCTTGTGGCTTCTATCACTGTTCAGCCAAGCACTAGCTAAAGCTTGTAGGAGTAGTTTTCTTTCTGCTCTAGGAGGATGGAAAACCCTTGACCTCTGTCTGGACAGTGCTAATTCGCCCTGTGTTGATCACATGCACTCTCCCAAGAAAAAACTCACTAACAATACACACCAAACTGAGCATGTGCAAAATGCCTACCATTCAGTCTGTCTTATCAGGAGATAAGAGGTGGTCACTTGAAGAAGGGGAGGAACAGAGAAGGATCAAAAGGGACTTTTTACACAATGCAGAGGATTAAGCCCTTAGATTTCACAGTGAGTATAACAAGCATGCTTTACTGCATATACAGGCTGATTTTACTGTTGTGAGTTCAGTAAAACTTTTGGGAACGTGCTACATGTTCCATCCATTTTTAGGGTGGAACAAGTAACATGTTCCCATCTCTGCTGTCCCCCACCCCATGACAGAAGTACCGGGAGAAGTGCCCCATACTGTCAGATTTGAAAACCACAGAGTTCTGTGAATGAACTGCAAGTCCCGCAGGGGCCCCCAGAAGGGGGAGATCAGGGCCGGTCTGCGCAATTCCATTGCAAAGAGCAGGTAAGCATAACATGTTTGTTATTTTAAAAAATTTATGACTTTACAATCACTTTAACCACCCCTCGGATTGAAGTGGATGACATCCTCGGATTGAAGTGGTTATAACGTGATGATGACTGCATCATCCCAGTATGACAATTTCCAGCAGCCGATGCACTTTCATATAGACATGATTTTAGTAGCTATACAGCCACTTGATCACCTCTACAGGTGGTGGAACCTCCTTCTACTGCCTATCCCTGGACTACTCTGACTGGCAGCATCAGCTGCAATTCAGAGATAGGAACTTATGTTCTTCCCTCTCTGAGAGACGAGAAACCAAAAGTAAATGGTATTTCATTACTTCCAGTTTTGGTTTTGTTTACAAGCAAATCTTTGTGTAAAAAAAAAAAAAAAAAAAAAAAAAAAAAAAGGTTTAAATAAAATAAATTACTTGCCTACCAGGTACTTTTACCCCCTTCCTGCCCAGGCCAATTTTCAGTGCTGTTGCACTTTTGAAGGACAATTGCACGGTCATGCAACACTGTACCCAAATAAAATTTTTATCTTTTTTGAGACATATAGAGCTTTCTTTAGGTGGGATTTAATCGCCACTGGGTTTTTTATTTTTTTGCTGAACTAAAAAAAGACTGAAAATTTTGAAAAAACAAAGTTTCTTAGTTTCTGTTATAACATTTTGTAAATAAGTAATTTTTCTCCTTCACTGATGTGCGCTAATGAGGCTGCAGTGATGGGCACCGATAGACTGCACTAATGGACACTGATAGGCATTGTCAGGCATCACTTGTGGGCAATGAAAAGCAGCACTGATAGGCAGCACTCATATATGGCACTGATAGGCGTCACTGATTGGAACTGTTAGGCATCACTTACGTGCACTGACTGGCGCTTATTGGCAGCACTGATGGGGCTACACTGATCATCAGTGCCCTGATGATCAGTGTGGATGTCCCCTCTGAGGAATGCAGCTTACCGGCTCTCCTCACGTGCTGCCAGCCATGAGGAGAGGACTGCCAATAATTGGCATTTCCTTGTTTACATGTGATCAGCTGTGATTGGACACAGCTGATCACATGATAGAGCCTGTGTCATCGGCTCTTTACTGCGATCGGTGATCTGTGTCCCAGGGACACAGCGCGCCTCCATTCGATGCATCACAGACCCCCGGGGACGTGCATGCGCAGTTAGAGTGGGAGGACGTCATGTGACATTCTCCCAGAATGAGTCACCGCCCGTCATTTCCTTATATGGTGGACGGGAGGCGGATAAAATACCCCCATCCCCTGTGCTTACATTCAAATGCATGCATACATCCTGCTTGCATATGTAAACGGTGATTGCAGTACACATCTGCGGTATCACCACAAATGTCAGAGCATGAGCAATTTTAGCTGCAGACATCCTGTATAAAAGGGTTTTAAAGCGTTGCCTATGGAGATTTTTAGGTGCTATAGTTTGGCACTGCTCCACATGCGTACGCAACTTTATAGTGTGACATGTTAGGCATCTATTCAGTTGGCATAATATTTTTTACATTTTACAAAAAAAGTGGGGATTATATTGCTTTTGTTTGCATTGAAAATTCATTAAAAGTGTTTTGGTTTTTTTTTAGATTGCGTTTGAAAAAAACGCTGCACAAATAGTGTTCCATAAAAAATTGCAACACACCATTTTATTTTCTAGGGCCTCTACTTTAAAAATATATAATATTGGGGGGATGGTTCTAAGTAAATTTCTAGCAAAAAAAAAAAGGTAGATTTTTACATATATGTGGGAATTGTCATAATTGGCCTGGGAGTCAAGTGGTTAAAAATGAATTAAACAGGGATTTAGTTTGTGGTGCTCAGATACAGTTGAGTTCTGCTTTAAGTTTTCCAACATGCAATATTTTTCTTGTAATAATTTTCAGTATATACTGTTTATTACTTATAAGTAATACTAAACAATATCCTTTTTCTCCAAAATAATCCATACACATACACTATTAATGGGCCTGCGATCTATTTTTCATGAAATAATTTCTTACTGCATTTTTCTGCCTCCTTGTAATATCCTTTATGTACTCCCTAAGCTCTCCTTTTCCCCATTTGTTTGGACCGACTAGTGCAGTGGTGGGCAACCTTTTTTTTCAACTGAGCCAAATCTCGCCAAAACCACGATTGAAACTTATTTTGAGAGCCACATTTTTAAAACTGAAAATACATCCCCCATATAGTAATTCATCCCCCATATAGTAATTCATTCCCCATATAGTAATTCATCCCCCCTATAGTAATTCATCCCCCCTATAGTAATTCATCCCCCCTATAGTAATTCATCCCCCATATAGTAATTCATCCCCCATATAGTAATTCATCCCCATATAGTAATTCATCCCCCATATAGTAATTCATTCCCCATATTAATTCATCCCCCATATTAAGTCCCCAAGTCCCCCCTGTGTCAATTCACTTACCTTTGCTCCGCGCGTTCTTCTCGCTGTGTGTTCCCGCGCCGTTCTGGTCTTCAGGGCGGACTGTGAGAGGAGAGGAGTTCGTCACGCTGCCCCGCCTACATCCTGGCTGCCCCGCCTACATCCTGACAGCTGCAGAGTCCTGACTTTTGGGGCGGCCGCCCGAGAGGAGGGAGGGGAGCGGGTGCCCGGCACACAGAAGAGCCGCATTTAAGTTTGTAAAGAGCCGCATGTGGCTCGCGAGCCGCGGCTTGCCGACCACTGGACTAGTGCATGTTAGTTGCAGTCATATACACTGCTCTGTGCACACAAAAAATCCCATATTCCAATTCAGGAGCAAGCAAGAGAGGGTGGCTACATTCCTATATAAACTGGGACAAAGGAAAACAAAACACACTTTAACAAGAAGTGGGATCAAAAGAAGGGGAAAAAAAAAAAACACAACAATTTAGAGATTTGGAGCAGGCTAAAAGAAATAGTGCTTTGGTAGTTCATTGGGAACTACAAGCAGACAGTCGCTAAGGCTGTTGAGACTTGTAGTTCATTCTTTCACAGAACACTGTGAAAGAGTCATGTGGCCGTGTGGGCAGAGCGGTTTTCAAAAAGTGACAGCTAGTATGGGGAACTTCTCCCTGTACTTCTATTACAGGGAGGAGGCAATGGGCAGTGGCTGCAGCATTGGGAAAATGACATGCTCTACCCCAAAAACAGATGGAACATGTACCTAAAAGGTGAGCGTATTCTTTAAGAATTACTACAACAGATTTTTAAACCAGGAGTATAGTGACACTTTAAAATGATACTAAAAAGGTTCAGTTTTTTTTTTTTTTTTAAGCAAACATGGCATATTTACCTGCTGTGTAAAGTGGGTTTGCACTGAGCAGCCCCGATCCTCCTCTTCTTGGTTCTCTCACTTGTGCTACTGGCTACTCTACCCTGCTGAGTGCCCCCCAGAGCAAGCTGCTTACTCTGGGGTCACTCGTGCGTGCTCGCTCCTGAGCACCCTATGTGTGTCCATAAGACATGTAGAGTAGGTCGGGCCCACCGCCTTCTCCCTCCTCACTGGCTGTGATTGACAGTAGCGGGAAGAGACTCTGGAGAGCTTCTACTCTTGTGCACATCGCTGGACCAGGATTGGGCTGAGGTAAATATTGGGTGTGTGGGGGGGGGGGGGGGGGGGGTTGCTGCACACTGAAGGTTTTTTATTTTAGTGC